CGGACGTCCGTAGAGCCGTAGATAGCTTATGGAAAGTCATCCACTCAATCAGTCTCGCAGATCCATTCGGGCACCACATTACAATAGTTCTATGCTAGTTTTAGTATGTAGAGTAGTGGATATGTAGGAAATCCGAGACGATCTGTCGCGGAATTCGTTATCAGGCCATATGCAGTCCTTTTGACAGTCACATCACGCTAGAGATCTTACCAAAAGGGGAAAGATTATCTGTCCTCGTCCAATGAGGTGCAGAGCGAGCAGATTGCGAATGAAGCGCTGGAAGGGCGCTTCGCACATATGCCTTCTCGGTCATACGTCGGTCATCCCAAAATCGTATCCCAATGTGGCAGTGTGACAACCTGTTTGATGGCAATGGCAACCATGTTGCCAGTCTCATCTATGATACTCCATTCCCCTCGATAAGGCTACAAATATACTCAAAGTTATGAGAAGAACCTAGTGACAGTGTTGTAAGTCTCCGATTTTTTATGATCGCTACACTGCGGTCAAGATCTAGCGAGTGAGTCATATTTGGCCAATTTCGAGTGATCATTCCTCTGTATGAAAACATCGCGAGGGGAAGTAAGCCCCCAAACTTGTAGATATGTAACTACAATGTATAAGAATAGGAATATGAACATAAAAAGGAAGGGGGTACGGAGGAGGAACAGCGATCGGTCTTTGTCAAAAGGAGTGGTGCTGTCAAAAGGAGTGGTGTATGTCTGTATGGTGCAGAAGAGTCCATGATGTACGTTTTCTCCATTCTGCGAATGGTTCTCGCACATGCCTAGTATACCACTCTGTCGTATATCGTCAAATCCAACACATCTTTGCTACGAAACATGTCACATATGTCCACTGTAAGCCTACAAACCCATGTAATCGTGCGGGTTGCCAATTGTAGTGTTCTACAAGCTCTCCTTTGCAGCTCCAATCTACCCACCTCGTCTGTTCCTCCCTCCTACTCAGCAGTGACTACATGGCCCCTAATGCCTTGCAAGACCACAAGGATTATGGAGGTGCGGATTACTCACATAGTCATGGTGTCTGGTGCTCCCCGACGAGGACTTTGAGCTGGCCCAAGAGGGCTGCCACCCGAGCCCACCCTATGTGGACGTGATTGTCGCTGGACAAACCGCCTTTTGACACAGAGCCCTCGGTAGCGTCTTGTCTTCACCATTCCGACAATTTCCGGGAGAGTACGCCATACCATTCAGCCAACAACGCTGTCCGAGTCGAGTAGGGAGCTGGGAGAGCGGGAATGCCCAGAAGTTGGTGACGTCGAGTTGGCGCAACTTCAATACAATACCGTGCCCTGCGCGTCGTAATCCTGAGCCAGAATACGCAAGAATGAAGTGGTTACATTGAGCTGTCGAGGAGATATCGTCGTCCGAAGTTCCTTTGGGGGCGCTTAGGAGGGGAAAACAGGCAAATGCGCGAGACGCGGCGCGGCGCTCTCACGAC